ACACACACACACATATCAGATTTAATCTTCTTAAAATAGTGATGCATTTCTATCTCTTCCTGCCTCAAAAACCTTCCATGTCCAACTAAAGTTCACAGAATAAATCTTGGATTCCTAACCCTGGTCATCAGCACTTCTTGCAGTTTGATCCGAATTTGATTATTGCTGTGCTCTTTTGTTTGTTTGTTTCTTTGCACATTAAGCTCTAGGATAACTGAGCTCATTGCTGGACACTTGCTCCTGCCTGGAATATGCTTCTTCCAGATTTCCTTATGTTCAAATTCAATCTGCATTTTTATGCCCAGATAAAATTTCAACTCATTCCAAATCCTTTCATTTATCTCTACTTTAAATAATCTTGCCTTCCTCTGAACTTACATTGTACTTTATCTGAACTTCTTTATGGCATTTGTCACTCTCAAACTCGTATAATAGTTTTTGTTTTGTTTTGCTTTGTTTTTACATAACACCCAGAACACATTATTTATATACATGTTATTTTCCTCTCTCTCTCAAGATAATAAGTTCAATGAGGCTCATGTGTAAATTGTCACTGTATCTGACATAGAAGCAAGCCATTTGCTTTTTACTTAGAAGGTATGCAGTAGATATTTTTTTAAGTAAATGAATGAATAGAGATTAATGTTATAAATGAATGAACGGGCAGGTTGCAGTTCAGTGATCTTCCCAAAATCACAGATGAAATCTGAAGAGGAAGTGAAAGTAAAAATTTCGATTCAGTATATACAACTATTCAAAAAACATCCATGGAAGTAAATATTAATTCACTAAATATTCTACATGAACTTTTGACCTAGTATGGACCAATCATCATTTTAGGGGGAGACTCAATACATCCCCACTTCCCCAGCCTTAACCATGATTTTCACAAGAAAGTTGTTTCTTTATTACCCTGAGGATTGCACAATATATGGAATTATTTGAATACAGAAATTTGTAATTTAAATAATTTAGAAACTAACAGCTCATATTTGGAGGTTCAAAAGTCTTTATTAAGAATTTTGTGATTTGGCTTTTGCTTCCTGGCCCTGTCTCACTGAGCCTGCTGCTCCTTCTTCTCCCGGTCTGTTCCTTCCCTCCTGCTCCTTCCCTCCCATGGACTCTTTCTTCTGTCTCTGCCTCCTTTGTGCTCTGTCTCTCACTGTCCTCCCTCTGCCTCTCGCCCACTCTCCCTTTGTGCTGTCTGTATTTCACTCTCCCTGTCTTTGTCTCTGGCTTTGACCTTGTCACATTTTTCTCTCGCTCACTGTCTTTTCTTCATAGCTCTTTATCTTCCCAACTGTCTCTCCCTCCAAGGTTACTCCTTGTTTCTCTCTGTCTTCGGGACCCTCCCTGGCCCCATTTCCCTTTCCGCCTCCTCTCTCCTCATTCCCTGGGGCCCCCTCTCTCCCCAGCAATTACCAGCTCTGGCTGGGTCGCCACAACCTGTTCGAGCATGAAGACGCAGCCCAGTTTGTCCAGTCATATACCCAGACAATCTCCAGTGTGTGGACCTCAAACTCCTGTCCAATGATGTATGTGCCAAAGCCCACTCCGAGAAGGTGACAGAGTTCATGCTGTGTGCTGGACAGTTGGAGGGCGGCAAGGACACCTGTGCGGGTGACTCGGGGGGTCCACTGATCTGCGATGGTGTGCTTCAAGGAATCACATCCTGGGGCAACATGCCATGTGGCAGCCCCAATATGCCCGCGATCTACACCAAAGTGACCTCGCACCTGGAGTGGATCAAGGAGATCATGACAGCCAATTCCTGAATGCCCCCAACATGTTCCCTACCCCAGTAAAATCGAATACGCATCAAAAAAAAAAAAAAGAATTTTGTGGTTTGATTTTTTTTCATTTTTGTATAAGTCAGTCTCTTCTAGAAATGTTCCAATCTCAAGAGAAATACAAAGCTATTGGTATTTCATTTCATCTAAACCACAGAATCCTTGACATTTGGTGGAAGAGCTTATTTTTTTAAAGATGTCATGCCCTATTTCAGTTACATGTTTCAGTACAATTTGCTCTTCTGTTTTCTTTTTAATAAGGGGAGAGGAAAATGGTGGTTATTCATAATTAGGGCATCACAGAGACTATTTTATTGTCCAATTTAATAGGTCAAAGTAGAATACCTAGATTTGCCCTTTTGCTCTTACTGCTCCTATTCCAGTCCAGTTCTTTCACTATCTCAACTTGGAAGTAACAAAATGATCTGAAGCTTAAGGCAAAATCCCTGTCTTTTTAGCAAACATTTGAATAGCACCAGGGAAAGTATTATTATTTTGTTTATTGTTAATACTTGGCATTGACTTTCCAGATTTTTTTTTTCTTCCAGAATCTTCCATATCTCTCCTCCATTCCCATTCTTGGTTTTCTAGCTTTAAGGTAGAGATGAGATACTAGAAAACATGTAGGTTTGATTTTACATTTTATAAATTAAGAAACTGAAGCTCAGGTGACATGAGCTCCTTAAGTCACACAGCTATAAATCCCTCTGATTCATTTTTGAGTGGGTGTATTGATTAGATGGAAAGTTGGTTGGTAGCAGTGAATTGAGAAGAAAGAGTCAAAGCCATTTGGGTCTATGTCAGAAAAGAAACAAAGCCAGGAAAATATGGAAGATTTTACATATTTTAGGGTCAGAAAGGTAAAATGAATCAAGGACATGGTGGGAGTTTGATCAAACATAAATAAATTTTGATTAAAAGCGTAATGACTACCATTTGCCCTAGCTAATCAATTCACACTGGAAAAAAAACTTGAAGAAAAATAAGATAGTAATTGTAGATGGAGACATATAGATGATGTTATTTTAATTCAGCAAAAAGAACGGGAAGGCTTGGAGATGATATTTAACCCAGATTAAAGATGAGGTCATAAGAGAATAAGAATTTGAGTCAAGTATTCAAAAAAATGTACTTTGAGTCTGTACCCTCCAGAGATTTGGATCATTGCAGATCTGCTTTTTCCACTCATAGATTCTGTTCAGTGCATAGTTCATGTAGTTGTATATATGGAGTAGCTCATCTTTTCTATCCACTGGGTTTTCTTCCCAGAAGGAACATTTACCTAGGAATTATCAGAAACCTATTCTCCTGGTGGCATGTGCTTTCTGGCTTCATATCATAACAACTGCGGGGGCACCTGGGTGGCTCAGTTGGTTAAGTGCCTGCCTTTGGGTCAGGTCATGATCCCAGGGTCCTGGAACTGGGCATCAGGCTCCCTGCTTGGTGGGGAGCCTGCTTCTCCCTCTCCCTCTGCCCCTCTTCCCATGCTCTGTCTCTCTCTTGCTCTCTCTCTATCTCAAATAAATAAATAAAATCTTAAAACAAAAAAAAAAAAACAAAAAAACTGCGGTATTCTGTCCCTTAAGAATCTTCCAGGCATATTGAAAGTAAAATTGGGGGTGCCTAGGTGGCAGTTGCTTGAACTTTTGATTCTTGGTTTCAGCGCAGGTCATGATCTCAGGATTATGAGATCAGGCTCCGCAGTCAGCGCAGAGTCTGCTTAGTTTCTCTCCCCCGCTCTCTTTCCCTCTGCCCCTCCCCCTCTTTAAAATAAATAAATAAATCTTTTAAAAAAATTAATTGATTAAAAAAAAGTAAAAATGAAAGCTAACATTCCTGATATCCTGATATCCTTGACCCCAAACTCAATCTCCCATGTATTACTGGTAGTATTAGTGATCTGACAGCAACTCTAAGTTTAGCATCATGGCCAGTGTGCATGGAGTGGATTGGACTGGTCAAGCTATTCCCTCTTTTACAGATATCTTCTGGATTTGAATAAAGCTTGTATAGTTGATCAATTCCAGAAAGTCAAGAAGTATGAGATGCTGGCTCTCATACTTCCAAAAGGGATAGGACCCTTTTGAAATAATTTTTAATTTAAATTTACTGATCATATATTTAGATTTACCCAATTTCTCAATCCTTTCCTTCCTTCTGCCAGTCACGTGGTCCCAAATTTTTACACATTTGTCCTCAATTATAGCCTTTTAAGGATAATGATTCTATATATTTCACTGTAATAATATATAAAAAGTATATGAAATAATTTCAAATCCATTCCCAACTATGTGTACAGTTTTATAAAGATTTACTTAATTATTTAACCTATTTCCATTTATTTACCAGTTAAATTTAAACAAATTAAATAAATTATATAGCACTGAGTGAACATATTTTATGTTAAATGAACTTCTCTTTTACAGTGAAAATGAAAAATGCTACTAAGTGTGGTTACAAAACAACAAAAGATAGATCTCAACTTCATTTGGAATCATTTAAAGACTTTATATACAGCAACATTTTAGGTGCAAGAGATTTTATTTTACTTTAATATGTCATATATTAATTTATTTGTATTTCAATTAATAAGATTCAGTAAAGCAAAATGCCATACAGAAAAAGCATTCAATTCTCTAAATATTCTGAGTGATCAATTCTTTTTTGGTTCACTAAATGCACCAGGGTTGTTTCTTGTGCTGTATTTGATCAACACAATAGAAAAAAATGATTTTCTGATGGAATACTGTGTATATCTAGCTTCCAATTAAAATCCATGCAGATATATTTCAGTACTTGACTTAAGCTTAATGCTATACTTTCAGAAAGTTAGTTGATTAAAATAAGAAGTGAGTAAGTGTAAAGAAACCAAATCAATCCTGAGCACATTCCTTAGCATGTTAACAGATTTTGAAATAGAGAGAATGCTAAAATGAAATTATAAATTATATCAAATTATATTATAATTAAATTATATCAAATCCAAGTTGATAAAATAATCATTTGTATTTCTATAAATGCAGTTAAAGTTTGCATTAGCGACAGAACAATCGTATCTTATAAAATCACTCTACCTTGTGGTATATTTCATCGTTAACGCTTATGCATGAGAGAATATTCATTTGATTAGTAATGACACATCCAAGTGGAAGGTGCATAATTGTAGACCCTCTCCTCTTTCAACCTCTTTTGTCAACTTTTTTAAGGAAAATTGGAAGGGCTTTTCTGATTGGTAAATTTGGGAAGAATAAATTAAACATGCTTACCTCCACTACTCCTTTCTGCTGACACAGGTTGTTTTGTGCATAGTTTTTAAAGAAAATACAGAGAGCTTTAGTTGATATGAATAGTTTATTGAATGAAAAACAAATCCTTCACAAACCCAATATTGATATGAAACTCAGAAGCATGATGTTACAGGATGGCTTCTAAAGTGAAGATGAGCAAGTTGTTTAACCTTTACAATGATAGGTTATTACAATGGCATTCCATTTTCCAGACAGCAGGGGATTGGTTAAAAGTGATTATCTTTTATCATTATAGTGAGATGACCTAAGTTTTTTCTTTTTTATGATTATCAGAGGCATTTACAAGCAATAGCCTAAGTTAAATTTCACTTATGTTCATGAAATAAACTAGAATTAGTTTTGCTTATGTGGCTTTAAAGGGTTTTTTGTGCTTGGGGGATTTTCAGGCCAGGTCTCCATTTTATTTTATTTTAACAAAGGGAAGTCCTTCAAAGTGAGTAATTCTTCCTGATTCTGGGATTCATTGTTAGGAGAAAACTAGGCTTTCATATCTAAGGTCATGTCCTTTAACCTAGCTTCTGTCAGTTAAAAAAAAAAAGAAGAAAAGAAGAAGAAAGAAATAAAGAAACCAAATTTGATTTTTATCAGTCTTTCCTTTTCAATATATTTCAGTTTGGCCTCAATTTTTTTTTTCTTTTACTACTCAATAGAAAATAAATCACTGCTTATCTTTTGTAGACTATGCTTTTTGTTGACCTATGTATTTTTTCTCCCAAAGTGTGTTCTGTGTTTCACAAAGCTACACAAGTATTTGTTTTTTTTTTGTTGTTGTTCTTTTTTATTTTTAAAGATTTTATTTATTTATTTGACAGAGAGAGAGATAGCGAGAGCAGGAACACAAGCAGGGGGAGTGGGAGAGGGAGAAGCAGGCTTCCCGCCGAGCAGGGAGCCCGACGTGGGACTCGATCCCAGGACCCTGGGATCATGACCTGAGCCAAAGGCAGACGCTTAACGACTGAGCCACCCAAGCGCCCAACTACACAAGTATTTGTTGTGAATACTGCAGAATTCACTAAAACATTACATAGTTATCCATGATAAGATTTCAGGTGTTAATAAAAATATCTGAATTTCTTTGCACCAAGTTTGAAGTGTGGTAAAATTATCCATGTGAATCAGATGCTTTCACTGGAAAATGTTTATGACTTTAATAAAAACAAGAAATATTTCCCTCATTTAATAGTTGAGAAGACTGATGGCTTTCCCAAAGTTATCAAGAAGGTGGGGCGCTTGGGTGGCTCAGTTGTTAAGCATCTGCCTTTGGCTCAGGTCATGATCCTAGGGTCCTGGGATTGAGCCCCCCATTGAGCCCCCCATCAAGGCCCCCATGGGCTCCCTGCTCAGCGGGAAGCCTGCTTCTCCCTCTCCCCCTGCTTGTGTTCCCTCTCTCGCTGTATCTCTCTGTCAAATAAATAAATAAAAATCTTAAAAAAAAAAAAGTTATCGAGAAGGTAGATTTCCAAAATAGTATTTGAACCGGATTTGTGTCCAGAAATGGTTTTCTCTCCACTCTGCTGTGCTGCTTCTTTGGAAAAACTATCTACTGCAGCTCAGTGAAAAAAAAGAGTAGTGGAAAATACCTTATTACTGATTATTTTTCATTATTCAGTGCCTGTTCTTTTATTATATAGCTAATTTTAACATATATTCATGTGTGAACAATGTTTTCTAGAGGAT